AGAAAGAAGAAAACCAAATTACTAGTATCAAGAATGAAAAGGGTGAAGCTACCACCAAGGAAGAGGAAATTAAAACAATAATTAGGAATTATTTTGCCCAACTATATGCCAACAAATTTGACAATCTTAGTGAAATGGATACATATTTACAAAAATATAAATTGCCCAGATTAACAAGAGGAAGTAAAATACTTAAATAACCCCATCTCAGAAAAAGAAATTGAACAAGCCATTGATGAACTCCCTAGGAAAAAATCTCCAGGGCCAGATGGATTTACATGAATTCTATCAAACATTTAAAGAACAATTAATTCCAATACTATATAGACTATTTGGGAAAATAGGTGAAGAAGGAGTCTTACCAAATTCTTTTTATGATACAAATATGGTGTTGATACCTAAACCAGGAAGAGTCAAAATAGAGAAAGAAAATTATAGACCAATTTCTCTAATGAATATAGATGCAAAAATTTTAAACAAAATACTAGCAAGTAGATTGCAACAACTTATCACAAGAATAATGCACTATGACCAGGTAGGATTTATACCAGGAATGCAGGGTGGTTGGTTCAATATTAGGAAAACCATCAGCATCATTGAGCATATCAACACAAAACCAACAGAAACCACATGATCATCTCAATAGATGCAGAAAAAGCTTTTGATAAAATACAACACCCATTCCTATTAAAAACACTAGAAGTCTTCTTTAAAATAATAAATAGCATATATCTAAAACCTTCAGCAAGCATTATATGTAATGGGGACAGGCTAGAAGCATTTCCAATAAGATCGGGGGTGAAACAAGGATGTCCATTATCACCACTGTTATTCAATATTGTACTGGAAACCTTAGCTTTAGCAATAAGAGAAGAAAAAGAAATTGAAGGCATTAGAATAGGCAAAGAAGAAACAAAGCTATCACTCTTTGCAGATGACATGATGATATACTTAGAGAATCCTAGAGAATCAAGTAAAAAACTACTTGAAATAATAAACAACTTTAGCAAAGTTGCAGGCTATAAAATAAACCCACATAAATCATCAGCATTTCTATATATTACCAACAAAGTCCAACAGCAAGAGATAGAAAGAGAAATTCCATTTAAACTTACTGTAGACATTATAAAATATTTAGAGTCTACCTACCAAAACAAACCCAGAAACTCTATGAACACAATTACAAAACACTTTTCACACAAATAAAATCAGATCTAAATAATTGGAAAAACATCAGTTGCTCATGGGTAGGCCGAGCTAATATAATAAAAATGACAATCCTACCTAAGCTAATTTACTTATTCAGTGCCATACCAATCAAACTACCAAAAAATTATTTTATAGAGTTAGAAAAAATAATAACAAGATTCATTTGGAAAAACAAAAGGTCCAGAATATCAAAGGAACTAATGAAAAGAAATGCAGGGGAAGGTGCCTAGCAATTCCAGATCTTAAATTGTATTATAAAGCAGCAATCATCAAAACTGCTTGGTACTGGCTAAGAAATAGGGAGGTGGATCAGTGGAATAGGTTAAATATGCAAGACATGGTACTCAATGACTATAGTAATCTACTATTTGATAAACCCAAAGACCCCAGCTTCTGGGATAAGAACCCACTCTTTGAAAAAAACTGCTGGGAAAACTGGAAAAGAGTATGGCAGAAACTAGGCATAGACCCAAATCTCACACCATATACCAAAATAAAGTCAAAATGGGTTCAGGACTTAGATATAAAGGCTGATACCATAAGTAAACTGGGAGAACAAGGAATAGTTTACCTATCAGATCTATGGAGAACAGAAGAATTCATGACCAAACAGGAGATAGAGAACATTATGAAAAGCAAAATGGATAATTTTGATTACATTAAATTGAAAAGTTTTTGCACAAACAAAGCCAATGCAACTAAGATTAGAAGGAAGGTAGAAAATTGGGAAAGAATTTTTACAACCAGTCTTCTGATAAAGGCCTCATTTCTAAAATATATAGAGAATTAAGACAAATTTATAAGAACACAAGCCATTCCCCAATTGATAAATGGTCAAAGGATATGAACAGACAGTTCTCAGATGAAGAAATTAAAGCCATCTATAGTCATATGAAAAAATGCTCTAAATCGTTATTGATTAGAGAAATGCAAATCAAAACAACTCTGAGGTACCACATCACACCTATCAGATTGGCCAACATGACAAAACAGGAAAATGATAAATGTTGGAGAGGATGTGGGAAAATTGGAACACTAATACATTGTTGGTGGAGTTGTGAAATGATCCAACCATTTTGGAGAACAATTTGGAACTATGCCCAAAGGGCTACAACAATGTGCATACCCTTTGATCCAGCAATAGCACTTCTAGGGCTATATCCCAAAGAGATCAAACAAATGGGAAAAGGACCCACATGTACAAAAATATCATAGCAGCTCTTTTTGTGGTGGCAAAGAATTGGAAATTGAGAGGATGCCCATCAATTGGGGAATGGCTGAGCAAGTTGTGGTATATGAATGTAATGGAATACTATTGTGCTATAAGAAATGATGAACAGGCTGACTTCAGAAAAACCTGGAAGACTTATATGGTCTGATGCTGAGTGAAGTGAGCAGAACCAAGAGGACTTTGTACACAATACAGCCACATTATGCAATGACTAAGAATTAAACTGAACCCTTCTCAGCATTACGAGGATCTAAGACATCTCCAGAGGCCTCGGGATGGAAAATACTGTCTACGTCCAAAGAAAGAACTATGGAAGTCGAATTGCTCTCACTTATTTTTACCTTCTGTTGAGTTTTGTTTCATCTTTCTGATGGTTCCTCCTATTGGTTTTAATTTTTACTTACAACTTCACTAATGTGTAAATATGTTTAATGGGTATGTAAATGTAAAGCCTATGTCAGATTGCGCGCCATCTTGGGGGAGGGTGGGGGGAAGAAAAAGGGAGAAAAATTTTCAACTCAAAAGCATATGGAAAAAAACTAAAAAACTAAAAATTAAAAAAAAAGAAAATAGTATTTGATGAAAGTTTGTTAGCTGTGTGCAGGATGAGTTGAAAAAAGAAACAAGGAAGACAGGTAGCAAGCTATTGTTATTTAACACAGAGCTGTGTTAAGAGAACTAAGTCCTTGCTGGGGCAGCTAGGTGGCGCAGTGGATAGAGCACTGGCCCTAAAGTCAGGAGGACCTGAGTTCAAATCTGGTCTCAGACCAAACACTTGACACATACTAGCTGTGTGACCCTGGGCAAGTCACTTAACCCCAATTACCCTTAAAAAAGAGAGAGAGAGAGAGACAGAGAGAGAGAGAGAGAGAGAGAAAGAGAGAGAGAGAGAGAGAGAGAACTAAGTCCTAATTTCACATTAACTTAGTTATTTAATATTTATTTCAACTTCTCATAGGATGATATAGTTTAGGAGCAGCTAGATGGCACAGTGAATAGAGTACCGGCCGTGGATTTGGGAGAATCTGAGTTCAAATCTGGCCTCAGACACGTAACATTCACTAGCTGTGTAACTCTGGGCAAGTCACTTAACCCCAACTGCCTCACCAAAAAAAAAAAAGAATGATATAGTTTCCTAGTATGTTTCACCTTTAATCAAATATTAAACAAGTTAAACTGATAAACAACAAATAATCCTGAAACATAATAGATGCAAGTACAGGGCGTCCCAAAAGTCTTGGTGCAGCTTTAAGCTTTGTAAAGCTTTTTAAAATAGTATTTCATAGTCATTTTGTTATATTTTTATAGTAATCTACTGTAATCATTAGTGAGAGTAGGACCATGTTTGTATCCATTGTGGAGTATATGTATGAGAAAATGGAAATGGCATTTGAAAATATAGGGAAAGTGTCTCTATTTCACCAAAGATATAGGAGAAATATATGTAGTACGTTACAATTTAAAAACTACTCAGAGATCAGTTTCCAAAATATCTCAAAGAAAGGAGGATTCCAAAAGAATAGAGAAGATCACAGATGGCATTTTAAACAGAAAAATATGAATGAGAAGAAACCAACAACTACTGAACCATAGGTCTAATTTCTGATTTCTATAAAGTTTTTATGAGAATGGTTTATGCATTTTGTTATATATTCTTAATGAAAACACAATTTTCTTTGTCAGATAACATTTTCATAATCCCATAGTTGACACAGAGGTGTAAAGACCACAAAATCCCTTTGTATTTATTCTTGGTTGATTTTTTTTAAATGTTATTTATTTTTATATTTATAATTTATTACATTTAATTTTTTTTTATTCAGAGTGAAATGGAGCCTTAAAGGGTCTCCTCCAAGGTGTTACCTTATTGTTAAAAATCACGTAAGACTCCTTGATACGACTACAGAGATCCTCTGTCTTCTATTTTACTGCCTAACTTCAGTGATCCTCTGTCTTATTGAAGTATAAAACATGGAGACATTTGCCAACTAACGATGCTATCCCTGTCATGAAGTATGTCACACATTGGATTCTCCATATCCTCATTTGTCAGTGAAATTATGCAGATTGCATCAAACCCTAATATCTCCCTCCTGAACTATTGCTGTAGACTACAAGGTCTCTTCAGTCAGATCAATGTGTATTCCAAAGATACTGGCCTAACAATTCACACAGGCAAGAAACAACTGGATGAAAAATGCATATTAACTAAACTGGGACTTGCAGTTGAATGGAGAGCTTATTGAGTTAAACCGTACATGTGTTCTGTGCAGTTACTGTGTATGGATAGTGTCTTGAGCCCAGAACTAAATTGGATGAGGAAAGTGAGATAGCATTTAGGAAATTTTACTGATATGGAAGTTCAAAATCAAGAGGATAACATGTTGGTAGAGTACTGGGTTAAGAGAACTAAGTCCTAATTTCACATTAACTTAGTCATTTAATATTTATTTCAACTTCTCATGGAATGATATAGTTTCCTAGTATGTTTCACCTTTAATCAAATATTAAACAAGTTAAACTGATAAATCTTATATTAATTATTTGTCACAATACCCAGGTACAGAAAAGGCCTGATAAAGTTAATGAAGATATCCTGACAAATAAAGGTGAAGAAGGAAAAGGCATGTGGGACTCCATTAAAAGGTAATTAATATTTTTGTACAAATATGTTACTATGAAATAATTTATTAAAAGGCCAAAATATGAGAGAAATTTAAATTCATAAAATTATATTTAAGAGAAATTTAGAGTTAAAAATTTGTATATAATACATGTTTGAAATGAGCACCAAAGAATGGGTAAATTGGGCAGCTTTAAAAGGGTTCCTCTCCTTACAAACTTATCAGAATAACCATTTTAATGAGTTTTCTTAAACATGTAGGGATAAAAGAACAAGCTTAATTTTTATGTCAGCATTAATGTAGAAAGAAATTTTGAAGAGATGCATTTATGGCTTGGATTTAAATCCACACTTATTTTCTTTTGTTCAACTTCCAAATAAACCTTACATATTTATTTTCATAAAATCATTTTAAAGATGAGGAAACAAACCCAGAAATTATGAGTGACTTACTCTGCTCTCTCTGTCCACATATCCAATCAGTTGCCAAATCTTATAGTTTCTCCTTCCACATCTCTCATATGTGGAGTAGGTAGGTAGCACACTGGATAGAGCACCAGCCCTGAGGTCAGTAGGACCCGAGTTCAAATCTAGCCTCAGACCAAAACTTGACACTTACTAGCTGTGTGACCCTGGGCAAGTCACTTAACCCCAATTGCCTAAAATACAAACAAACAAAAAAAAACATCTCTCATGTGTATCTCCTTCTCCCTACTTATACAACCACCGCTCTATTTTAGCCTTTCAGTATCTCCTTCCTAGACTATTGCAGTAGACTTCTAATTAGTCTCCCTGTGTCAAGTCTCTAACCATACCAGTGCATCATCTATCATACTGATTTTTCCTAAATTTCAGGTCTGACCTTGTCACTTCTCTACTCATTTAATTCCATTTACTCTCTATTGTATACCTATGCATGTAAAAGAATATCTAATATATGTGATAATTTGGAGGGGAAAGCACAACAGCTTGTAGGGATTAGGAAGGGCTTCATGTAGGCTTGAGCTAAGGCTGGAAAGAAACTAGAAATTCTCAGAAACTACACAGTAGGTGAAGAATTATGCATGAAAAACAGCAAGAATACTAATTTTACTAAACTGGTGTGTGTAAAGGAAGATTAGGACCGAATTGTGAAGAGAATAAATGTTTTTTATCCCATGAAAATATCCCATTAAAAAACTTATTAATTAATGTTTGTTATTATTGTTGTCTTCCTTTTTTCCCTTCCCTATAGAACTATTCTTAGGATAATCAATTAATTGAGATGATCTAATAATTCCATATTATCCCATAAAATGCATTTATGTTCTTCACTATCTGACCTCAATTTCTTCTTCAACTTTATTTCAAATTACTTTGCAGCCAAACTGGCTTTCTTACTGTTTTTCATAAATAACCTTTTATTTCTCTCCACACCTTGAACTGGTTGTCCCCTATGTCTGGAATGTACTCACTCTTTACCTTAGCCTCTGAGAATTCTTAGTTTCTTTCAAGACTTAGTTCAAATGTCTCTATCTTTATTAAGCCTTTCTTAATTCCCCCAGTTACTAATGCTTTCTTCTTTCTCTTCCTTGTGTATGTTATATATTTTTGTATGTCTATCTCCCCTATAAGCTCCTTGAAGGCAGGGATTATTTCAGTTTTGTCTTTGTATTCTCAGCGTTTACCACAGTGCCTTGTGCTTAATAGATATTTAATAAATGCTTGGGTTTGATTTATTGATTGCCCAAGCATTTATAGTCACCTTAACTTCTTTGCATCACAGTATTGGTAATTAACTTCATGAACAAAATTATCCTTAAATTTAGGGTATTACACACACACACATACACATACACAAATTTGTGTTACTAAGTTAGCAATTCACTGAAAGTGATGGAGCTGTATCAAATTATCCCACAGAATGACTCTTTTGATATTCTCTTAAAAAAAAGTGAAACCTTTCAGGGCTGCTTAGGAGATTAAATTAGATAATATAAATAATACATGTTGTAACTGGAAAGTAAATATATTACCTTATACTATTATTCTGTTACTCCCTCCCAGAAGACTAATCAGTACATGGAAACCATAGAAATAGGATCAAACTTATCCTTTACATCCTGTAAGACAGGAAGACAAAAGGGTAGGGGGTGATGGCTTTGCTTTCTTCCCTTCGCCTTTTGGTCCTATCCAATTTCATTTGCAACCAATTAAAGAGGATCTTGGGAGTGAGGTAGGCTTCCTAGTCCTAAACTCAACACTGCTTTTCTATTACTAATAAAATATAACAACAAAATTAAAATTAAAATAAATTATAATAAAACAAAATAAAATTTAAAGGTTTTTTTTTTCCCATTTTCGTTATCTTCTCCTGCTTGGGATGCTATGAGAACCAATCCCTAAATGAGAGAATCAATAGAAAATTGTGTTTCCTCCAATATAGATTTCTTCTGTACACCTGTTCTAGTAAAACCACTTTTCTTTTTTTTTCTTCAGTACCATTTCTGCTTTTCAGGAAGCACATCTGGAAGTGTGCTGTTAGATTACAAATGTGTTAACTCCATTGTCCTTAGTTTTGAAAAGAGTTTATTATAAAAATCTTTGCAGATCTTTTCCATCTTTGCTTTTCTGTTATCTTCCTTCCAGTTTCATCCTTAAATGCTCTTAGTATGACTTTTCATAATTTAATCTCTTATCATGCTTATTTTAAACTGTTTTTTTTCCTTCCACTGATTCTTGCTCCTTCATGAAGTGATATTGTGCTTAACTTGTTACCATGCTTAACCATAAGATTTTACAAATGGCTTTAAACTCTAAAGTACTATTGCTGTTGCTGACACTTTTCTCTATTTGACAGGTAGATCAAGTATTTGCTGACAGAATTAGTTTTTAGGCATTTCTGGCCTCATTATGGCATTTGATTTATTTTGGTTAAATTTCTCTATGATGTAATCAGTTTTGATGCCCTTTTCTCCATCCATTTCCCATTGTTCTGACCATCAATAATTTATTTAACTACTACAGATTGCAGTTGCTTTAGTTTCACAGTTATATTTCTTTTCTAATTTTCATCCTTATAGCTACATGTTAATTTTAACTTTGTCCTGGAAAAATGATGGTCTGACTATATTACTATTATACAATAACTTAGTGGCACTTTAAATGTGAAATACTTTTCCAGTTACTAACAGGTGGTTGTACTACTGGAGGAACTGAATCATGTCAGTTTTGACATTTTTGCCATAAACTTAATCAGAAGACAGAAGGATGCTGTGGCTTACAGTTTCTTCTTGAAAAGGCAAATGAAGGAGCTAACAGAGTTGACTTCATTGTGTGTCCAAAAGCAACAAGAAACATCATTTCATATTTGTCAATATGATCAGTGTGATCATCTGATATTACAGTGTTCATGTTAATTACTCACAAAACAAAAAAACCTTTGATTTTTAGCAGCTTACGTATTAACATCAACTGCAGAAGATGAAGAGGTAGATAAATTCTACAAACTCAATTAAGACCCTCCAAATTAAATCAATGTATACTTTGATGCTTGGTAACTTTAATACAAAGCATAGAAAAGGATAGTGAAAAATAAAATGGAAAACATCATTCAGGAATAAGGAATGTGAGCCCCAAAGACTTACAAGCTACATAGAAGTCTGACACACATATGAAGAATGCTTTCTTTTAGAAACATTGACAAATGTGAAGATTTCAATACACAAAAAAAGAAAACAGAAAAAGAGGATTGTATGTAAAACTCAACTGCATAGGTTTTTTAAAGTAAATATTAAGTTTAACACAATAATAACAAAACTGCTTTTTTTGAATCACCATCTGAACTTTCTTCTTTCTTCTATGTATGTTTAAATGTTTCCTTGACTCTCTTTTATTTCTTTTTATTTTTTATATCACTACCCTTTGACCCAGTAATTGCATTGCTGAGTCTATCCCATAGAAAGATAAATGAAAGAAAGAGGGAAAAGACCCATATGTAGGAAAATATTTATTGTAGCACATTTTTTGTAGTAAAAAAACAAAAACAAAGGTGGTACCTATTAATTAAGGAATGGCTGAACAAATTAGTGGTATATGAATATAATGGAATAATATTATTGTGCTATAAGAGATTATGAAAAAACATTCAGAAAAAAATGTAAAGACTTCTATGAATAGATGCAGAGAAAAACAGACAGAACCAGGACAAAATGTATACAATGACTATAACAATATAATGGGGGGGGGAATTTTGAAAGACTTAAAAACTAATGATCAATGCAGTGACCAACTAGAACACCAGAAAAACTGATGTTAAGTCATAAATCCTACCTCTTGACAGAGAGATGATGAACCAGAGATTGCATTTTCAAACAGCTTGTGCATTCACTTATTTTAATGAAATACATGTGTTTATTACAAGGGAAAGTTTGTGAGAGAGAGAGAGAGAGAGAGAGAGAGAGATGTTGGTTATGAAGCAAAAAGAAAAGAATAGAAAATGAAAAGAACATCAAGGAAATCTTTTTTAAAATACACCAAACAAGAGCAAAAGGCTATTCAGAATGGGACACAGACAAGCAAGATGTATGACTATATGAAATTTAACATGTCATTTTTAAAAGCAAGCTGCATGTAATTCACAGCTTAACATACAGTCTACCTTTTTTTTTGTTGTTTCTATATAGAATTGTTGATATTTTTCAAATTTATAAGAAAAAATATTAAACCACTTGAATATATAAATATATATTGCTATACATAATACATATAAAAAATTAGTAACCAAATATTGTCATTTCTACTTTAAATGGCTCTTCTAACCATTCCTTTTTCTGTGCTCACACAGCCACCATCCTAGTTCATGGTCTTATCACCTCTGGCCTGAACTGTTGCAATATTCTGCTAATTGCTCTCCTGCCTCAAATCTCTCCCTTCTCTAATTCATCCTACACACAGCTGCCAAAGTGATTTTCCTAAAGTGAGGGTCTGTCCACATCACTTTCCTATTCAGTTAAACTCTGGTGCCTCCAAAGATCAAGTATAAATTCCCCTCTTTAACTGTTAAAACTCTTCTCAACATAGCCACAATTTTACTACCTATTACTCCCCTCCCTACTCTCTGCAGTCATGCCAAAGTGGCCATCTTGCTGTTCTTCACATGTAATATTCCATCTCCAGTCTCTCTGCCTTCACACTATTCCCCATTCCTGGAATGCACTCCCACTTCATCTTTGATTCTTTGAATCTTTTGTGTTCTTCAGAATTCTATTCAAGTGACACTATATAACAGAAACGTTACCTTTCCTTAGCTACTAGTACCTTCTCTCACACACACAAAAAATTACTCTGTGTTTATATTGTGTATACTTATTCACGTACATATGGCTTCTTATAAAATGTAATGCCTTTGAGGGCAGGAACTATTTTATTTTTGTCTTTGTATCCTATCCATAGTAGTTAGTTAATAGATGCTCATTCATTAATGGATATTAGTTTAGATGGGTTTGTTATTTATGATTACATAATAAATTAATTTTCAAATTATATCTTTTTCATCTTTAGCATCATTACTGGCCTTCCTACTTACCATATGTGGAAGACTCTTCTTTGGCCGAATTTGTTTGACCAGCTGGATAGAATATTTGCAGGTCAATCAACTAAGCATTTGTTAAGCCAAGTAATATAACTGTACTAAAAAAGTAGTTGCTTCAGTTACCTCTGCCATCCTAATGATTCACTCATGGTAGCTAACTGCTGCAGTAGATAAAGCACCAGGCCTGGAATCAGGAAGACTCATCTTTCTGAGTTCAAATCCAGCACCAGATATTGACTGTGTGACCCTGGGCAAGTTACTTATCCCTGTTTGCCTCAGTTTCTTCATCTGTAAAAAGAGCTGGAGAAGGAAATGGCAAAGTATCTTTGGATAACAATAATAATAATAATAAGGAAATGGTGAAATATCCAGTATCTCTGCCAAGAAAACCCCAAATGGGGTCGGAAAGAGTCAGGCACAACTGAAAAATGGCTGAACCTAAATGACTTATTCGTATTGACCTTGCAGAAGTACATTATTTTATTTGATAGACCAGTACAATAACCTAAAAAGAGAACCAGTGGCATTTTCGCTTTATTCAGTCAATCTCTATACTTTCACCCCTTGTTAGATAATCTCAGTTGTCTTTTTAGTTGTATCTTCATTCCATTAGAATGATAATGGAATGATTCTTTCTTCATTTTTGGAAAAGTATCCCAGTAGAAGATCCCGGGAGAACTTGAGTTCTTAAGGGAAGGAAATTTTTTGTTGTCTTTGTATTCCCAGGACCTACCACAGTACCTTGTAGGTACTTAATAAATGTTTATGGGGCAGCTAGGTGGCATAGTGGATAGAGCACTAGCCCTGAAGACGGGAGGACCTGAGTTCAAATCTGGTCTCAGACCAAACACTTGACACGTACTACCTATGTGACCCTGGGCAAGTCACTTAACCCCAATTGCCTAAAAATTTTAAAAAATGAATAAAATAAATAATTTAAGAAATAAAAAATAAATATTTGTTAAATTATATCCATAGCCACTCTTCCTCCAACAGAAAATAAGTTATCCTGTGTAGATACCTATATTATGTAAGTCTCAAAATTCTATCTGGCTGCCAACATGATCACAACTTCATCATTATGATTTGCCCTCAAAATTATTTGACTGATTGCAAAATGAATCATTATCAAAAGAGTTTAGAATCTGAGAACATAAAACTTCTAGCTAAATATTAGATTTTAAGTGTTACAACATTCCAATGGTTAATAATAAATATTTATTTACAATTTTAATAATTTTTCACTCTTAGAGTTATGCCCTTCTTATTTCAGGATGAAGTATTTTAGAGTTGGTCCTATAGCATACATCTTGGAAATTTATCTTAAAAGGAAAATAGCCAATTTTCTTCTTTTTCTTACATTTCAAGTTTCACAGGAGGACTGCAAGCAGGAACAAAGGAAAAGAAAACTGATTTTCTAAACATTTTTTCAGTTGCTTCAGGCCATTTATATGAACGTTTCTTGAGGTGAGTTAATTTTTATCATTCCAATGAAATTTAATAAATATGCAAATGTTTTAAATAGCCTTAGATATGAACTCTTAAAGACTAAAAAAAATGGCCTGCTTTGTAACAGAAACTATTGTTTTTAAAAGGAAAGGAAAAAATCATCTTTTTGAGGTGAGAAATAGACTGTTTTAGCACCTTCAAAAACAATCACCTAATGCCTCAAAATATATGAATTAGTGTTGTTAATAATGCCCCAATGGGCTTTAATAATAGTAATAGGTGAAAATTATAAAAATGTTTAAGATCGACAAAGCACTTCATATTATTAATCCAGTGAGTATGTACTATTATAGGCTCCCTTTTATAACTGAGGTAACTGAGGCTCTTAAATGTTAATAGCTGTATATCTAAGATTACACAGATAGCAAATATCTAAGTAGAAGTGTAATCCAGTTCTCCCAGGCTCCAAGTCCAGCACTCTATGTGTACCATACTACTCTGACTCTTTATTCCAGACATAGTTTCTCATTGTAAATACCAGGATAGACATCTTTCAGAGAAATAAAATTACCCAAAGACTTCATTGGTAGAAATAGCTTACGTAGATGGTTCAGCATTTTTAAGACTTAGTATTAATCATATTGTGATAGTGCTGAAATTTGGATTCAGTTCAACTTAAGAGTTGTGCCCTGATTTGATTCTTAATGTATTTATTTGAAACAAAACTAGTATTAGTTATGTGTGTGTATGTGTATGTATATGTATGTGTGTGTGTATATGTATATATACATACATATATATATACATACATACATATATATACATATATATATATATAATATTTTACCCTACTAATGGTCAACCATGACTTCTAAAGAAGAATTTTAGTCTGTTGAGTAACCTTTGTCACTGAAGAGCTTATAATGAATACAACTAACACATCTAAAAACTAGAAAAAAAAACAAAGCTCAAAAATTCTTAAGACAGTTATGGGTGACCTTCAATTGCTTTTTCTTGTAACTTGGTTTTAACCCAATTTTCTCTTACAGAATTATGATGCTTTCTGTGTTACGCCACACAGAAACTCCTGTTAAATTCTGGTTTCTGAAAAACTATCTCTCTCCAACATTTAAAGTAAGTGTTCTGGTTCTGATAGAAAAATTCAGGACAATGCAGAATAAGAATGCTGAAATGTTAGGGCATTGCTATTATAAATTTAATTCATGATTCTATTTTCAAAAGTGAATATTTATTCCATTGATAATCAGTTTTTAGATCTCAGTATTTCCTTAGCATAAAAATTCTTGCTTGAAACATTTGCCATGTGGTGTTTATTTACAATGCATATTGAGATAAAAGAAATATAAAGAATAAGGGCAGCAGAACACAGGTTATTTTTAAATAACACAGTAGGCAATGTAAGAGGAATCTTTGCATGATATAAGGAATACTATGCAAAGAACAATAACTGGGTGAGGTAAAGCCAGGAAAACTATTGGATTGGGGAGACAATTTTACACAGACACAGTTATTAGTTGTAATTCTGGGTAATTTTTCAGGATTTAGTCTTGTACTAATAAGAGGCAGAAACATTAGTAGTCTTTGTACTTATACACCACAGCCAAGTGCTTATCTCCCACACTCTTCCTTTGGACTGAGTGCATCCTGCTTTTTGCTATTCTAAATAGTAATTAAATTCAATTCAATATTTATTAATATTCAATAAAAAGCTACTATAAGTCACTGTGCTTCGTAAATGGACAAAAAAGGAGCTTTTTATGACCTCAAGGAGACTACATTCACAAGAAGAATAGAACATGTACGCAGACAAGATAATATGAAGAGGAGGAAGGAAAGATTGTCCATAAAAGGTGGCCTTAGAGTTGAGCCATGAAGGAAATTAAGAATTCTAAGAGATAATAATAAATTGAAGGTTTTTGGTCACCTGTGCAAAGTACAGGATGGAAGATGGAACACCAACTCAGGGAACAGCTATCTAGTAGGCTGCTTTGACTGGAATGAGTATGAAAGGGATGTAAATGAAAAAAAAAACTAGAAATACAAGCCAAAACCAGATTGTAGAGGCTTGTTACCAATAGATTAGCCACCTGCTGATGGTTTTTTTTTTTACCATGGGAACCTATGAACAAAGGAAAATGTAGAATTTTTATTTTTGTGGCCATCTTCCTCTTCTACCATGGCAGAAACTGGGGCAAAAGTGCTAAATGCCACATAGATTTTAGATCATTTACAAATATTAATTGAGCTTTTAGTAGATAGGAAATTGTTGTTTGCCATTGTGAGAGACATTTCCTTTTATTAAATGTTATTGTATTACAAAGTATAGTAATTGTGATTTTTAAAAATCTGTTGTTTGATGTTGTTAAATGATAGGACTGCACTATGGAGTCACTCAGGCATGAAACATATGCAGTAACAGTTTACACTTTTCCTCTGTCCTGACCTATTCTGACCCTGTGTCAATCAATTAAATGATCGCAGCTCCTGACTAGATGGAATTCTTGGCCAACTGTGGCAACTGAGAGCCACACCTGTCCCTGGCATCTCCAGCTGCCAACTCAAACCCTCACCTGATATCCAAGAAGGAACCTACCCCTTACCCAAGTCTGGTATCAAAAAGTAACCTGGTGAATTTCCCCCACCAAATCTGAATCTACTTAGGAATGCCCCCTACTACATCTAACAGATATGTTCTCAATCAAGCCCATTTTTAAGTCTGTTTTTAAGGTATAAAACTTCCCTGCTTAGACCCCTACTCTGAGCATGTACTCTCACTGAGAGGTTTACCACTGTATACTTCTCCCTTCCCTCTCTGAATTAGGTAGGGGTTTTTTGTTTGGTTGTCTTTGGGTTTGGTTGTTTTTTGTTTTGGGGTTTGGGGTTTTTTTTTTTGCATCTCTGGGATCAAACCTCTATCTGTCTTGCTTTGCCAAAGTGTGTGTTTTTTGTATGTTTTTTTTTTGCTTGCTTGCTTGCTGCAACCACATAATAAAGTTCATGTTTGTACTAGCTTCTTGAGTACCAATTTTCTGTGTATCCACAAGCCTGGCTCTTTAACCTAAGCCTTGATGCAAAAGGAAATACGGAGCACATATTTAACACAGTGAATTAAAAATACAAATGGTGTCAACTTTAAATCTTGTGCGCTTGACATTTTTTTTTAATAAATGCTCTCAGCTCACCCCAATAACAGTCCTACCGCATTAAGGCAGTGCATTCAAATACTTTTTTTAGTAGCAAGATGATGCAGTGTATTTTCACTACTCATCGCTGGCAGTATGATTCAGTGCCTAAGTTTTAAATTAGAACACTACATCACAACAATAAATTATATTGAAATAAATGTAGTATATCATCATAAATATCTTTTGCACTTTTTCTTTTTTATTAATCTGTCCTTTCCAATGAGCAAATTTTTTAAAAAACTGGAAAAACAAAGCCCTGAACATATAGCTGCATAGTCTGGCAAAACAGATGTCCACATTGGCCTTTTCTGAAAATGTTATGTTTTTCTGCATTTTAAATTCTTAACTTCTCTGTTAGGAAGTACTTTGTTTTTTGGACTTGTGGCTTATCAATGCACTGGTCTAAATTTCAAAGTATTTCAAAGTTGTTTTTCCCTAGAATGTTATCATTATGTAAATTGTATTCCTCATTCTGGTCACTTTGCTCTGCATTGGTTCATAGTGTTCTTCCCAGTTTCCTCTGAAGCAATCCATTTCATCGTTTCTTGTAGCACAATAGTGTTACATTAGGTTCATATGTCACCGTTTGTTTAGCTCTTCCCCAATGGGAGGATACTCCCTTCATTTCCAGTTTCTGGCATCCATTAAGAAGACCTGCCATAAATGTTTTCATACATATAGATCATTTTCTTCTTTTTTTTAAATTTATTTAGGCTATAGGCCTAGTAATGATATAACTGGGTGAAAGAGTATACACATTGTAGTAACTTTGGTGATATAGTTCCAAATTCCAGAATGGCTGGACCAATTCACAGCTCCACCAACAGTGCATTAGTGTACCTGTTTTTGCCAACTTCATCTTTTCTCATTTTTGTTAGTCTGCTGGGTATGCAATGGAAACTCAAACTTGTTTTACATTTCCCTAATAGAGAATCAGAGCCTTTTTAAAATATGGTCTTCCCTGGAAAACTGCCTGCTGCAGTCCTTTAATCATTTCTCTGTCGGAGAATGCCTTTTTAATATTATAAAATTGAATCAGCTTAGATATAATTCGAATATAAGACCTTACCAGAGAAATATGCTGTAAAGATTTTTCCCTGTTACTTATTTCCCTTCCCAGTTTTTACATTAGATTTGTTTGTGCAAAGACTTTAATTTTATTATTTAAATTTTGATTCATATGCTCAAAAGTATTAATTTTGCCTTGTACAATGCTCTCTAATGCTTGTTTAGTCACGAACTCTTCTTCCTTAATCCTCTAACATGTTTATGATGTGATCTTTTGTGTCTAGGTCATGAAACTTATCTTGATGTAGTATGTGAGGTGTTGGTATAAATCTGATTTCTTCCAGACTTCTGTCCAGTTTTCTCAGCAGAGAAATTATGAAACATAAGCAGTGACAGACAGTTCACACTTTTCCTCTGTCCTGACCCATTCTGACTCTGTGTCAATCAATTAAATGATCACAGCAACTAATTATATATGGGGATCAGGGAGTAAATAAAGAATAGAGACTTGAAGATAACTTCTAGATTACAAACCAGGATGACTAAAATCATGGTGATGTCCTCAACTGAAATAGGAAGGATATGAGAAGGGATAGTTTTAGCAGAGATAATGAATTTAGTGTCACGGACATCACTAGTATAGGTATAGGAAGATAAATTATCATTTGTGAAAATCTACAGCAGGCCATATCATTAAGTTATATAGTTGATTAAAGCATTCAGAAAATATAAGATGCCATTGTGCATATTTGTTAACTGTATAAAAAACATTTGATTCAGTAGAGCAAAATGCCATCTTAAAGGCTGCTCTCCAAGGGGCAGCTAGATGGCGCAGTGGATAGAGCACCGGCCCTGAAGTCGGGAGGACCTGAGTTCAAATCCGGCCTCAGACCAAACGCTTGGCACTTACTAGCTATGTGACCCTGGGCAAGTCACTTAACCCCAATTGCCAAAAAAAAAAAAAGGCTGCTCTCCAACAAGGTGTCTCCCATGCGTATGTATGTTAATATTATATAAGACTCTTTGAAAGATGCTACAACAGAGGTAAATTGGTTTGAAGACTATTAATATAGAGTCATTAATAGGAGACATATACTTGCCAAAGGTGTCACAGACAATGTCCAGCAGAGAGTCCTGCTTATGGATGACCTTGTGCTGATTCTCTTAAGCCTGGAACTTTGCAAACCTTCCTAAACAAGGTCTATTATTACCCAAAGTATAAAAAGAAAATTAATAGAAAGGATTCTTATTGTCCAAACCATTGCCATTGTATAGACAGGCCATAAAGGTGATCTATCAGTATGTTTATCCTGAGGAGACAATACAGAAGGAATGCATCCAGAATTGGATAGAGGTAGAGTAGGCTAGATTGCATTTGGAAAATTCGACACTGCATTTAATGATCCCGAGCTTCTCCCCTGAAAGAAAGGCCTACCTTCTTATGTCATTCTTTTACTGGAAATGTTAAATGGCTATGAATCATGAACTTCTATAAAACTGAATTTGTAGGATAATAGAGAGGCACTTGATTTCTTCCCTTAAAAATAGTAGCAGTGCTTTTCTTCTGCCTATCGGAATGATTAGGCTATAGTGAAGGATTGTGAAGGAGACAGAGTATAAATTATATCAGAAAGCAGTAATGCCCAGAAGATAAGTTAGTCTAATTGTATATAGGGAACAAGAAATGACCATTTGGCAGACTTTGTACTGTACTGGATTCCTACAATATCAAGAAATCTAGAACCATGGTAGACTGCGACACGACTCCAAGGAGGCCATGGCATGATTCCAGGAGCTGGGTGATCAACCAAGTGGAAAGTGGAAAGATGGTTTGCATGCATTGGAGTGCTGGAAGCAGCTTGTACAGGCTCATAAGAGCCAATTGTTAAATTTTCACTGAGAGAGTTTACACCTCAGAATTTGACAAACACTACAAATCAGATCTTGATTTATTGTTATGTTGATTGTCTGGACTTAAGAAAGTAATGGAGTTACTTTGGAGTTAATGGAGTTAATAGTACAGATTAAATTTAAAAGCATGTCATGTGTATAAACTTGTTTTTCAGAGAGGAAGTTAATAAACATTTACCCACACACCCTTGGTTACATCCCACCGTCCACCCAAGAGTCAATTGTGGGGTTTGTCTCTAACATAACCTTTACCTATTCTTCACCCACTATTGTCCAACACTCAGTTCGCCATTTTGTTGCTACTGGGCAAACTTCCTTGGTATTGGCATTTCAGGACAGTTGTAACCTAACTGAGACCCTGAACTCCCACAGGAGCAGCTGCATAAATACCACTGTAAAGATCCTATGTACTTCCCCCCATGTCTATCCCCTTCCCTCCAGATCAACTCATGGCTGTAAAAGACACCCGTCAGAAGTCAGGCTCCATACTCTGGGTCAATGACAGGAGAGTAAGAGCCTCATCTCCCCATTTTGTTTTGTCTGGGATATTGGATAAACATGTATGGATGGTTTTATTTATTATACATTATTCCCTTGCCTGTATTCTATGGTCCAGCCAAACTGGCTATCTCACTGTTTCTTATACCTATAGGGGAAAAAATGTCCAAACATGAACAGGCAATGAAGATATAATACCATGTATAAATAGAACTAGAAAATGTCTTTTACAATGACTATTACATTGTCATTAGCTAAGTTTGGATTTTTTTAGGGGAGCCATCAGGTTGAACAAATGTAATTAAATTATATCCTTTTGAAAAAATATTAGGTATAAATAAATGATTGGCACAAAGTGCTAGGATATAATTTCGTTATTGATTGCAATACTGGATTTATATTGAAAACTTGTCAAAGATGATTTATTTTTTCTTGATTTTGCATTATGTATGGTGAATATCAACTTATAGAAAAACACGATTCCTGCTGAAAAGGTGCTATATTCCCTAACTGTGTGATGTATCATTTGGTTGTTATATTATGTCTTTCATATTTTTTAAACCACAAAAAAAAGTATTTATCCTGTGTGGCTAGCTACATTGATCAAATTAACTGAATAATTAATTGCTAACAAGTGTTATTTACAAATCTTCCCAATCCACTAGGATATAGACTTTTTTGAAGGAAATAATGGAGCTTGTTTAATAATATAGTTCTCACTAAAATATTATTATTAATATTTAGTGATAGATTAAAAAAGGCTTTTGTATCACTAATAAATAAAATTCAAATATTGCTTATCTCATCTTTATCTCACGCTTTTTTAATTCCTATTTTTGGTGCATGTTTAATAATGACCATAATATATTAGTATCATAGCACATTCTATAATTAATAAACTAGTATATATTGCAATTTTAAGCTATTAAAGCTTAAACTTTTGTGACACCCTGTATTGGGATAGATGTTCAAATTAGTTTTGCTGATAGGAGGAGTATTATAAAAAACTTTTAGAGACCACTGATCCAGAGGAAAGAACCTAGAATGTTGGGTGGATCTCTATGGAAGATTTTTGGGGAGGTTATAGACAAGAATCTATATGTTCTACTGGCATGGTCTTTACAAATTTTGTATCACTTCCACATGATGCTCAGACTACAGAGTAAGATTTAGTGGGAGTAACATGCTAATAATTTAAATTATTTTAATTATTGTGGAGTTTGGGGTTTTTTTAGCCAACCACTTCATGATAGCATGGAGATATATTTTAAATACAACAATACAGGAAAGAATTTATGATTTTGTTAGGTCATGGAATTCCTAATAGGAGAACAGTCTCCAGTAATGTAAAACATAATCCTTGCAGTACATATAAGATTTTGTATTTACATGGTAGGGAACTACCTAAGGAAAGAAGTTAAGGCCACATGGATGAAATATCAGAGGTGGAATTTAAACCCAACTTTCCTGATCCAAATCTAGCACTCTATACATTATGCCATGCTACTTCCCGTGTAATATGTTGTACAGTCTACTTAAAGTTTCTTTATTCAGTCCTTTATTATGGCATTGATTGACAAAAAAAAATTGGGCAAAAGTCTGTATTCAACTGCATTATCAAAAATAATGCAAATAACATTTTTTATCTCATACTTTTACAATATACTTCATATTTATTTGTATAAATGTTCCTTTGTTCCCTACTAGGTTGTAAACTCCTTGAGGTCAAGGCCTGTGTTATTTTCTTTTCCTGGCATCTAGTATGGTGCCTTTCATTATAGTGGGTGATTAATTAATATTCATGAATACTCTTTTTGCTGATATGATTTTCCCTCCTTTTTTATTTCTCTACTCCCATTCAGTTTTGAAGTGGTCTCCATAATTTCTCCAAACCCTTCACTTTTTTTTCTCCTACTTTTAGAGAGAAACCATTGCTTATAATGAAAGTTCCTCAGGAACTTTGTCGTTATTAATTACTTTCACAGCTAAAAGCAAAGATGTCCTTTAGTCATCTTTCAAATACACCCAAATGTACTCTGGTCTCACTAGAGCAGAAAGAGATTAAATTAAAATGAAATAGCCAGTAATTGCCTGCTAGCTTCAGAAGAGAGAGCAAAATAGCAGCTTCTCTGATCTTACTTGCTCACCTCATTCATTCTCTTCTTCTTTCCTTCTTATGACCATCCCCCAAGAACCCAGTCTTTTTTACAAAGTGTGACCAGGGAAATTTAGTAACTACTCCTGGTCTGTCCCAGGAAGAAGACACTTTCAACATAATTGGAAAATACTAGTTATGTGATAAAGAAATGTGTGCTAGAAAATACAGCAAAATTGCTATGGTTATTTCAAAATGTGATGTATACTCTATATAGTTGGACTGCATGTTTAAATATTGTATATTTCTTATGAATAGGAATAATTTTGTGAGAAATAATATTTAGACATGGAGCATAATTTTGTTGTTGTTAAATCCTTTCAGTGGTATCTGATGCTTCATGACCTCATTTGGGGTTTTCTTGGCAAAGATACTGGAGTGGTTTACCATTTCCTTCTCCAGCTCATTTTACAGATGAGGAAACTGAGGCAAACAAGGTTAAGTGATTTGGCCAGGGTCATACAGCTAATAAGTGTCTGAGACAAGATTTGAACTCATGAAGATGAGTCTTCCTGAATCCAGGTCTTGTGCTCTACCAACTTCAACACCTTGATGCCCAATGGAGCATAATAAATTGTAATAATTCAAAGATTCCTTATTTTAAACCTACATGACTAGTTAATGAGAAGTTTTTATCTTTTAGACAAAATTAATTAGTATACTTATTGAATTTTTGTTTGTAGGAAATGATTCCTCACATGGCTAAGGAATATGGATTTCAGTATGAGCTAGTCCAATATAGATGGCCCCGTTGGCTTCATCGACAAACTGAAAAGCAAAGAATTATTTGGGGTTACAAGATTCTTTTCCTTGATGTTCTTTTTCCACTGGTTGTGGACAAAATAATTTTTGTTGATGCTGATCAGGTAAGAAATGCAGTTGACAAATACATTTGTGAAGCACTGAAGATTTTGGAAAAATTTCATGTAAATGAGGATCTGAGTTTATGATGTTTCATGTTATTGCTTACAGCTGTTATGTCTTCATTTATTTCTGTCCAGTAGCACTAGTGTTATAAGACTAAAAGAGTCAACAGCACATCACCACAACAGCTAGTTCTTTATTCATGAAACCAGCATATGATCATCATGCCATCCCCAATTCCAGCCAAGTTTAGTGTTTTAAAGATTGCTAAATTGTCTTGATTTCTTCCCTTAAAAATAGTGGCAATGCTTTTCTTCTGTCTGTAAATATTAGTACAGTATATATGTACACAGCACACGGAAACCTTTATATTGAAGGTGCTATGTAAACAGAGATGTTATAATTAAATACATACATAAAATGAGAGTATGAACATCATTCTTTTCCCCCAATGTATCTTTCTTTATTTCATTAAATATTTTACAATATATATAAAAAAATTAACATTCATTTTAAAAACTTTGAATTCCAAATTATCTCCCTCTCTCTTTCCCTCCCTCTCCTACCCCTCCTTGAAAAGGCTAGCATTTGATATATATTATAAATGCAAAGTCATGCAAAGCTAATTTCCATATTAAGAATGATGTAAAACACATACCAAAAAAAACAAACAACAAGAAAAAAATAAAGAAATTTAGAAAAGTGTGCTTCAATCTGCATTCAGACTCTGTCAATTCTTTTTCTGGAGGTGGGTAGCATTTTTCATCATTAAGTCCTTCAGAATTGTTTTGGATCATTGTATTGATTAGAATAGCTGTCATAGTTGATATAAAATAGCTTCATAGTTGATTATCATGTAATATTGCTGTTACTGTGTATAATGTTCTCTGTTTATGAAGTCCTGCTTATTTCACTTTGTATTCCCAGGTTTTTCTGAAAGCGTCCTGCTCACCATTTCTTATAGCACTATGGTATTCCATCAAAATCATATGCCACAACTTCTTCAGCCATTCCCCAATTGATGGACATCCCCTCAATTTCAAATTTTTTACAACTACAAAAAGCTGCTATAAATGTTTTTTGTACATATAGGTCCTTTCCCTTTTTCTTTGATCTCTTGGGGATACAGATCTAGTAGTCATATTGCTAGGTCAAAGGGTATACACAGTTTTCTAGCCTTTTGAGCAGAGTTCCACATCACTTTCCAGAACAGTTGGACCAGTTCACATTAGCGTCCCAATTTTTCCATATCCCCTCCAACATTTGTCATTTTCTTTTTCTATCATATTAGACAATCTGGCAGGTATGAGGTAGTACCTCAGAGTTGTTTTAATTTGCAGCTCTCTAATCAGTAGTTATTTTAGAATATTTTTTTCATATGACTATAGATGGCTTTCATTTCTTTTCATATCCTTTCACCATTTATCAATTGGTGAATGACTCATACTCTTATCAGTTTGACCCATTTCTCTATATATTTGAGAAATGAGGCCTTTATCAGGGAAACTTGATATAAAAAAATGTTCCTGGCTTTCTCCTTTCCTTCTAATCTTGGCTGCATTGGCTTTGTTTTTGCAAAACCTTTTTAGTATAATATAATAAGAATTATCTATTTTCCATCCCATAGTACTCTTTATCTCATGTTTGGTTATAAATTCTTCCCTTATTTTACCCTTTACATCTAAATCAAGTACCCATTTTGACCTCATTTTGTTATATAGCATGAAATGCTGATCTATTCCTAGTTTCTAGCACTGTTTTCCAGTTTTCCCAGCAGTTTTTGTCAAATAATGAGTTTGTGTCCCAAAAGCTTATATCTTTGCTTTTATCAAACAATGGATTAGGTTGTTGTTCAGTCATTTCTCTTTGTGACCCAATTTGGGGTTTTCTTGGCAAAGATACTAGAGTGGTTTGCCATTTCCTTCTCCAGCTCATTTTACAGATGAGGAAAATGAGGCATACAGGATTAAGTGACTTGCCCAGGGTCACACAACTAGTAAGTATCTGAGGCCAGATTTGAACTCAGGAAGATGAGTCTTTCTGACTCCAGGCCTGGTACTCTATCCATTGCTTTACCTAAATGTCCTAAACACTAGATTAGTATGGTAATTGACTACTGTGTATTGTAAACCTAATCTAGTCCACTGATCCACCACTCTATTTCTTAGCCAGTGCCAGATGGTTTTAATGATTACCACTTTGTAATACAGTTTAAGATCTGGTATCGCTAGGCCACCTTCACGTATTTTTCATTGATTACCTTGATATTCTTGACCTTTTGTTCTTCCAGATGAATTTTGTTTTTAGTTTTTCTAGCTTTATGAAATAATTTTTTTGTAGTTTGGTATGGCACTGAACAGGTAAATTTATTTAGGTAAAATTGTAATTTTTATTATATTGGCTCATCCTAACCATGAGCAATTAATATTTCTCCAGTTGTTTAGATCTGCCTTAATTTGTGTGAATTTGTGTGAAAATAGTTTTGTAATTGTGTTCCTATAGTTCCAGGGTTTGTCTTGGGAGGTAGTCTCCCAAGTATTTTTTATGGTCTACAGTTATTGTAAATGGAATTTCTCTTTTTATCTCTTCCTGCTGGACTCTTGTTGTTAATATATAGAAATGCTGATGATTTTGTGGGTTTATTTCACATCATGCAACTTTGCTGAAGTTGTTAATTATTTCTAATAGTTTTTTAGTTGATTCTCTAGGATTCTGTAAGTATACCATATATCATCTGCAAAGAATGATAATTTTGTTTCCTCATTGCCTATTCTTCCTCTAATTTCTTTTTTTTAAAATTTTATTACTATACCTAGCATTTCTAGGACAATATTGAGTAATAGTGTTGATAATGGGTATCCTTGCTTCACTCCTGATCTTACTGGGAAGACTTCTACCTTATCCCCATTTCAAATAATGCTTGCTGAAGGTTTTAGATAGATACTACTTATTTTTTAAAAGTTCCATTGAACTGATGTTTTTAATAGGAATGAGTGTTGTATTTTTTCAAAAGCTTTTTATGAATCTTTTGTGATAATCATATGATTTCTGTTATTTTTTTTATTGATGTGATCAATCAGGCTGATAGCTTTTTTATTATTGAACCAGAGTAGCATTCCTGGTATGAATCCCACTGTTTATAATCTTTGTGATATGTTGCTGTAACCTCCATGCTAGTGTTTTATTTAAAAATTTTACATCTATGTTCATTAGGGAAATTGGTCTGTAGTTTTCTTTCTCTGTTTTTGCTCTTCCTACTCTTACAAAATTCTTTTGGAAGAACAAAAAGTGAAGAATATCAAAGGAATTAATGAAAAAAAGATAAAGAGGTTTAGTAATACCAGATTTTACTAGTACCAACTGTATTATAAGGTGGTAATTATAAAAACTATCCAGCACTGGCTAAGAAATAGAAAGGTAGATCAGTGGGATAGAGTAGACATACAATTACACAGTAGTAAATGATTATAGCAACCTTGTGTTTGACAAATGTAAAGATTTAAGCTTTTGGGATAAGAATTCAATATTTGGCAAAAAAAAAAAAAGTTGGAAAAACTAGAAAGCAGTGTGGCAGAAATTAGGTATTGACCAATATCTTATACGATTTACCAAGATAAGGTCGTAGAGGATACATGACCTATATATACAGAGAGATATCATCAGTAAATTAGAACAACATGGAACATGTTACCTATCAGATTTATAGATAGGAGAAGAATTTGTGAATAAACAACAGAGAGCATTAAGAGACATAAAATGAATAATTTTGCTTACATTAAATTTAAAAGGTTTTGTACAAAGAAAATCATCATAGCCAAGATTACAAGGAAAGCAAAAAATTGGGAGAAATTTTTATAGACAGTTTCTCAGATAAAGGTCTCATATCTCAAATATATAGAAAACTTTGTTAAATTTATAAGAATATTAGTCATTCTCCAGTTGATAAATGGTCAAAGGATAAGAACAGGTAGTTTTTCAATGAAGAAATCAAAGCCATATAGTCATATGAAAAAATGCTCTTAAATCATTATTGATTAGAGAAATGCAAATTAAAACAACTTTGAGATATCTCACACCTATCAGATTGACTAAAATGATCCAAGTAGAAAGTGACAAAAATGTTGGAGGGGATATCTAGCAATTGGGACCCTAATATATTGTTGGTGGAACTGTGAACTGATCTAACCATTTTGAAGAGCATTCTAAAGTTATCTCCAAAGAATTATAAAACTGTATATACCCTTTGACCCAGCAAAACCACTATTAGGTCTGTGTCCCAAGGTGATCAAGGAAAAAGGAAAAGAACCTATGTGTTCTCAAATATTTATAGCAGTTCTCTGTGTGGTGGCAAAGAACTGGAAACTGAGGGGATGCTCATCAATTGGGGAATGGCTAAATAAGCTATGATGTATGCTATGATTATAATGGAATAGTAATATGCTGTAAGAAATGATGAGTGGATTGATTTTAGAAAAATAGGGAAAGACTTGCATGAAATAATGAAGAGTAAAATGAGCAGAATCAAGAGAACATTGTACAAAGCAACAACAATATTGTTCAAAGGATAACTGAACAACTAAGCTATTCTGAGTATTATAAATATACAAATCACCTACAAAGGACCTATGAAGGAAGATTCTATCCCCTCCAGACAAAGAACTGATAAATAGAAGTATGTATAGTATGGTTTTACACACACACACACACACACACACACACACACACACACACTCTCTCTCTCTCTCTCTCTCTCTCTCTCTCTCTCTCTCTCTCTCTCTCTCCTCTCTCTCTCTCCCTCTCTCTCTCTCCCTCTCTCTCTCTCTCTCTTTCTCTGTCTAATTTGTACCAAATAGTGGCCTTCTCTAGTGCCAGATAGGGAGAGAGGAAAGGAGACAGTTTTGAACTGAAAATATAACAAATTAAATTGATTTTTTTAAAAAACACAGTAGAAAGAAAAATTATGAATTCATTTGTCATAGGAACAGTGGTTAGGAATTGCAAAGGAGGGGCAGGTAGGTGGGGATAGAGCACTGGCCCTGGACTCAGGAGGATTTGAGTTCAAATCCAGCCTCAGACACAAAATACTAACTGTGTGACCCAGGGTGAGTTATTTAGCCCCATTGCCTAGCAAAGAAAAATAAAATTACAAAGGAGTAGATTTAAGCTTAATGTAAGGAAGAATTTCCCAACAATTTGAGCTACCAGAAGGGACTAGACTATTTCTGGAAGTACAGGGTTCCCTGTCACGAGAGGTCTTCAAGTAGAGATCAAATGAATACCTGACAGGAATGTTATAGAAAGGATTCTTTTTCAGGTACAGATTAGACTAAATGGCCTCTGAGGTCCCTTCCATTTCTGATCTCTTGAAATATTGTAACTTATTCAAATTATATTTTGGGGATATTTGTCAAAACTGAAGTTACATGATATTGTAAAGATAATTTAGTTCTTTTCTTTGTAGAAGTCTCTAATACAAGATGATTTACAATACAGATTTACAGGGTCAGTATTATATTGTAATCTTTTTTTTCTTTTGATAAGGCAATCAGGGTTAAGTGAGTTGCCCAGGGTCACACAGCTAATAAGTGTCAAGTGTCTGAGGCCAGATTTGAACTCAGGTCCTCCTGACTCCAAGGCTGGAGCTCTATCCACTGCACCACCTAGCTGCCCCTATTTTATTATAATCTTCAACATATTTTTAAAAATATACTCTTAATTTTCTAGATTGTGAGGACAGACCTAAAAGAGCTTAGAGATTTTGATCTTGGTGGTGCACCATATGGTTACACACCATTTTGTGACAGTCGAACTGAAATGGATGGATATCGTTTCTGGAAATCAGGATATTGGGCTTCCCATCTAGGAAAAAGAAAATACCATATCAGGTAAGAAAAATTATGGTTTTTAATCTTTTGTCAGTATGTAATTTATTCATATAGTGACTTTTCTGTTGACTAGGAAACTTGTGGAGAAAAAATATACTCTTATATCATTATTTCATTGCTCTATTGCATAAATGTTAGTAAACATGAGGACACTTGAATTTCTAATATCTGGTCTCTGTGGCACTGATGCCTTAAATCTTAGTTCCTCCATTCACAAGAACAGAACCTTATTGACATTTTTGGCTAATTGTAGTTTCCATGAGTGTATGTACCCCCATTCTATTAGCAGTATCATAGATTTAGAGCCAGAAGGGACCTTAGAAGCCATCAAGTGCACACACGCGCACGTGTACACGCACACACACACACACACACACACTTTACAGTTGAAGAAACTAAGGCTCAGAGAGGTTGTTAAATGACTTGCCCAAGGTCACCCAGGAAGTAAGTACCTGAGACAAGATTTGAACTCCTATCTTCTTTTTTTTTTTAACTCCTATCTTCTTTACCCAGCATTATCCACAGCAGAGAAAATAGTGAGGTATCATTTAACCCAGTTGAATTGAAAGGAGAGTTAAAAAAGACTGTGAGATCCTAGAATTTTTAGGCCCAAGCAAACTCCATACTTATAAATAATAACAACATAGACTAAAGAATATTTCTTTTTCAGTGCCTTATATGTTGTGGATCTCAAGAAATTCAGAAAAATTGCAGCTGGAGATAGACTTAGAGGTCAGTACCAGGCCCTTAGTCAGGACCCAAACAGTCTGTCCAACCTAGATCAGGTAAGTATTGGTTTAATAAATTATATCCAGATTTAGTTATATCATATGGCGTTTATAATTTGATCGAAATAGTCTGAACAAGGCACCACATCATTTCAAGAACATGTCCAAAAACTTTTTTTAAAAAATAGATGCAATGCAATCTAGGGAATACAAAGATATGCTCGGATTCAGGAAGATCAAGGTTCAAGCCCCACGTCTGACACATGCTGTCTCTGTGACCCTGGGGAAGTCACTTGATATCTCTGTGTCCCAAGAAACTCTATAAGATGACAAATGACAAAGAAAGTACTAGTCTGCGTTGGTAGAAGGCATTTTCATCATTAGAAGTATTATGTGAAATGTCAAGTCTGGTACAAAAACAAATCCAAAAATAAAAAATGGAAAATAACTGCAATTATACCTAGATCTGGTTGTCTTGATTTAAAAGTTTTGTGAAAGTTAACTAATTGGGGCTAGAAAGTAAGAGGGAATAATATTATAGTGAGGAGTGTCTCCTACTAAGGCCCTCCCTCCTTTAATCTGACACATTATCTTCACCTTTGATCACAATAATTGAACTTCTTTTTAAAGCTTTGCTAAATAAAATGTTTTACATTAAAAAAAATCTTTTTTTAACATGCTCTGTAAAAAATTAGTGGTAAGCTTATAAAAGTAGTTTTAATATTCAACATACAGTCTAGCGTTTTTTGATCCATGTTATGATATGGCATGATAATGAATTTGCTTCCCCTTTTCATAATATTCAGTTATTAAAATTTTAAGAAATAGATTCCTTTCTTATGAAATCATATTTCTCCTTACTGGAACAAAAACATTTTTCTCAAATTCTTGTTACATTTAAATATATCAAAGACAAATGCAACAGTTTGTCTTAAAGTGTAAAATTAAGCTTGCTGAAACTGATGGACTTTGTCATGACACTGCTTTATACAGAATAACTCCTTTATATTGCACTTTAATATTTATAAATTTTGTCACAAATAAATATGTTAACTCTTACATTGGGAATTTCTAGCTTTTAGTATAAAATTGTTAAGGGAAAAATACTTGAAGGGAAGCAGAATATGTAAAAATTACAGATAAAAAGATGAACATGAGTATGTCAAAGCATAATCTGAAATAAATTTACAAAGATAAATGGAGGGCCATATATAACAACTTGAGGAGAACATACTAATCTGTCATATATTATCTCATGTTTATCCATTTCACTTACCTTTGGATTGGGGAGAAAATCTTATTTTAAAATTCAATATGGTGAAACCTGATTGCTTCATACTTTGCTAATTACACATCCTCCAAATTCTTTGCCAATATAGCCCACAGCCCAGAGCAATATCAGATCTTTTGTGAGTCATCAGACCTGTAGCTGAGCTGGTCCTGCTGGGCAGGGTCCTAGTGGTCTGTCTCAGGGGCGGTGCTTCTCTCTCACAACCACTCTTCCATCTCTAACTGTTATATGGATTATGATGACAAAATTCCTATTCTCACAATCACCTGACAGCTAGTACCAGCCATGAAGATTATTTCATAGCTTCATTTTACTGAGTTTAGAGGGGTAAGGTGAAACTGGCAAGATGAAATTTGTCCTCTTGTAGCCAAATTGCTTCTCTCTCTACACATTTTAGTATCTGGGCACATATCATATTCTTCCAGTATACTATAAGCTCCTTGAGACTGCATTAATTTTCACCATAGTTTTTCTCAGTGTCTAAAAGAGTGCCAAAGATATTTTGTAAATGTTTGTCCCTGAAGAGGATTAACCTGGCTTATTGCAAAATATTGATGAAACTCAGAATTCCTCAGCATAAATTCTAGGGAAGCAGAAGTCTAGAATTATTGTATACTAGAAATTTTAGAAGAATTAAAAAACTTTTGTAAAAGTGACAATCAGGCTTGCAAAAATTCAATTAATATGGCATGTATGAATTAATCAAGGGTTTTAATGTGCTATTGAATTGTCAGTGTGCACTTGCCTGTCACTGTGATGATGCACTTCTGCACATATTACCAATAGTGGTACTAGTTCTTGGAAAATAGGAAGACCATTTTAGATGGAAACACTGCCAGTGCAAAGCAGAAGAGATTTGTTATTAAATTTTTTTAAAAAAATTAATGTAATTGAGCAGCATGAATGTGGCCATGGTAACTCTAAAACAGAACCAGATGTTGGAATGCCTGAGTATATGGTATGACATTAGTATCATGTCAGCTTTTGTATTTTGCAAACTACAAGGAACAGAAATGTTACATAGAGTATGTGTTACATAGAAATGAAATGTCTTTTAACTGTATGGATTGAAGATTGCAATTTTTAAAAAAAAAAATACATTCTTCTAGGCAGAGCAGCCATTCAGACAAAAGCTTCAAGTTTATTTAAAGCAATGAAAAAAAATGGAAATAAAATGGATAGTGCAGGAGTATTGGTTAGTTCAGTTGCCTTAAAAATCAAATGTAGTTGTATAATTTTAAAATTACATGAAAGGCAGCCAATGCAGAAGATGTAGCAACTAAATATCCTAATGTTTGTAAGAAAAGACAGACACACTGATCAGCAGATTTTTAATATTGATCAAATAGGCTTTTTCTGGAAAAAGGAAGACTTCTAGAATGTAGATTTCTTCAAAAAAAAAAAAAAGAAATGAAAAGAAATAACCTGGATTTAAAGTGTCTAAGGATTGTCTTAATTCTTTTATTGGAAAGTAATGGAGGTTATTTTAAATTAAAACCAATGCTTGTTTATTAGTTTCAAAATCCTCAGACTCTGAGAAGATACAACCATTGATCACTTCCAGTTCTTAGGTGATGAAATAAGAAAGCATGGATGCCTAAGACTGGTTTTCAAGCTATTTTAGCCTCACTATTGAAAAAAATATTAGACAACAGTACCACATTTAAATAATTGCTGATTTTAAATAATACCCCAGGTCATCCAACTACACTTGGGTCAGTGTGTGAGAATGTGAGCATTCAAATTCACCAAGATGTGGATAAAGCTCTCTGCACCTACCAGTGTAAGTATGAAGTTTTAAAAAAAGAGAAAACAGTTCAGTCCATGCTAAAATATTTTAAATGGCAATAACTTTTTTCATTATTTGTCAGTGTAGGCTTATCTTTAGACAATAAACTTAAATCCAAAATATATTTTTCTTATCCTTTGCTATTATATTAAGATAATAAACAGATAAATATAATTTAAATTTTTTTTCATTTCATATTTCTATTGGTATGGATCCCATTAGCATGTTTTACATATAATTATAACTTTGAATAGTCAGAATCTGAATAATGTAATAATGATCACAGGATTCATTATTAATCCTAATCAGGATTTAGCTGTGCCTTGTATCTCAGTCTCAATGCCCTCACAAATGTATCACAGGTCTCTTTATACCTTTTCTATAACACATCTGTGACTATGATATTGGGGCTCAAGTGTGGTGGTTCCACTGTACTTAACTTAGCATAATGATTTTGGCAAATCTTTTTCATTTTTTGTCTGTTTGTGGTTATTCTTCCATTTTCATCCTTGAAGGACCCTGGGATGACATTGCTTTGTTCAGTATCTTGCCAGACTTTATTTAAACTGGTTTTATATTCCATTCTATCTCTTTGCTTTATGAAATAAAATTTCTTAAACTTGTCCATTGGTCTTCATAATTTACAAAGGAGTTTTTCTTATAACCTGATCTTGCCTTTGGCAGGAATCTCTCATTTAGCAAGGAGCCCAGAAGTTTGTTGACCACGATGCTGTCAGGGCTCTTTTGGTCTCCTTGTGGCAATTAATCTACATTGGTTAAACTTTTGGATAAAATTATCATTATATCAGTGTCATTTCTGATATCCATTTCCCATTTTAAAATTTTCAGTTACTTATTTAAATAATTCAGCATTAAAATGTTGCAATTGTATATTATATCTTTTTCTCATTATTATTCTTTCTTCTTTAGTTCTGATAAATCAGTGGTTTAATGATATAAATATTGCTGACTTAGGAAAAGGGCAGCTAGATGATTCAGTGGATAAAGTGCCAGGCCTAAAGTCAGGAAGACTTATCTCCCTGAATTTAACTCCAGCCTCAGACACTTACGAGCTGTGTGGTGCAGTGAATAGAATGCCAGGCCTGGAATCAGGAAGATTCATCTTCATGAATTCAAATCTGGACTCAGATACTTACTAGCTGTGTGACCTTGTCACTTTACCTTGCTTGCCTTAGTTCCTCATCTATAAAATGAAGTGGAGAAACCACTCCAGTATCTTTGCCAAGAAAACTCCAAATGGGGTCACAAAGAGTTGGACACAACTGAAACAACTCAACAATAATAGCAACAAAGATTTGGGGAAAACTTCCACATCAATAACAAATCTTTTCCTGTCTCTAAGAGTCATCTTTTTCATTCTTTATTATGTTATTTGCCACATCCACCACCTGACACCTTCTTTTTCAAAGAAGATATTCATAATATAGAGGTATAAGGATTCTGTGGCATATACACATCTTTCTATTCTTTCATGTGTTTTTCTTGAACAGTGCTTTCCCATATATTTCTCTTCAACATCACTTTTCTCCACCTTTACATTAAAGTCATATAGTATCAGAATATATATTATTTTAATTTGGAGGATCTTCTCAAATTCTTCATAGGTAGACTCTCTACTGCTTCATTCTCAAAAACCATCTCAGGGGGCAGCGAGGTGGAACAGTGGGTAGAGCACAGGCCCTGGAGTCAGTAGGATCTGAGTTCAAATTTGATCTCAGACCTTGACACTTGACACTTACTAGCTGTATGACCCTGGGCTAGTTACTTAAGCCTAATTGCCTTACTAAAAGAAATAATCTCAAAAGTTACCATTATTTCCATAATAATCTTTTTGGAAATACTCATGATAATTAGTACTGAAATACATGATGTACAAATGCTCCAGGAAATACTGTTTCTTGTTTCCTCTAGATATGTGATAAAACCTACTATGCCAACTCCTTTCTTTGTTTCTCC